TTTTTTGCAGAAGATTAAAACTTAAAATATTTGGACCCAATGCCAAACAACTCCTAGTCAATTACCCCATCCTCCATCTCTTCACCTTCTCATTCACATCGAACTCCGTCTTCTCTTCCACGATGGCAGGGCCTCGCCCGCTTCTGGCGCAATGGTCACGGCGACGGTTGAAGCAAGGGCAGCGGCGGAGACGCCGAGCTTGTCTTGGAGGTAGTCGACGAGGATGCAGGCTTCCTCGAGGATGAGGCTGGAGATGTCGTGTCAAGCTTCTCGATCTTTTCTGGGGCTTCAACGGCAGTGAGGGGGCAAATGTGGGTGGTACGGTGGGTGAGGGTAAGGGTTTGGGGGTTGAAGGGGAATTGAAGAGTGGGTTTGGTGGAGTGGGAGGGAAAGGAGGAGGCGATGGGTGTGGCGGGGAGCTGAAGAGGGAGGAGTAGGAGAGAGAAGGGTGGGGAGGAGAAGTGGGTCGGGAAGATGGATTTTAAGGTGTTTTTTTTTGTTTTTACTTTTCTTTAATTAATTATTTTTTTACCACGTGGCACAAATGTGGCAGCCACGTCAGCTTTTAACGGAACAATGAATGGAAAATGTAACGGATGTATTATAATGAAATAAAATAGTACTTGAGGTATGAAAGTGAAATGTTTTGAAAATGTTATATGATGTTGTAATAGACCTTAAACCTGATATGGTAAAGTGTAATTTACCCTAAAAAAATATGACAAAAGAGGATATAAGTTCGAATTCGTGGTGTCTCCATTAGATTGTTGCTCACTCACAAGTTCTACTCATTCCCAAACCCTAACAATATGTTTGGATGAAGAAATTTAAGATTACTAAAGAATTTTTAAATGAAGGAAATTGAATTAACGAGATTTTATTTTTTAGAAATTGTGAACTTTCTTGTTTGGTTAACCTAAAGAACAATGTAATTGATTATGAAATTTGTTATTTTTAAGCTTTCAATTATATAAATTGGGAAATGACACATATTTACATGAAATTTAAACTTAAGAATTAGAAATCCCAAATTCAAGTTTTTTTTTCAAGCGAAAATTCTAAATTCCTATATTTATGAATCCAAATAAAGAAATTTGTGCATATCAATTTACAAATTCTGATTTTTATTTATTTCATCGTCCAAACACAGTGCAACGTTTCTTTTCCAAAATCCCCTACCGTTTCTTTAACGTTCTCCATGAAGAGCAGCATCCAACCTCCCCTTCTCATTCCGCCGATCCCTTTCCAACGCTCTGAATTTCTCCCCTCCCCAGTCTGACGCCTCCAACCTTTCCTTCGCAGTCCATAATTCCACGAAACAAGCAGTCGCAGAAATGGCGCCTCCCATGTCTCGTCGTCGAAGCGCCACCGCCGCCAACAACTCACGGCCAATTGTGGGATCCTTCAGAAGTTTTATTTTCTTCAGATGGTTGTCCAGGTCTCCATTCAAGAACTCGAAGACCACGAAGAAGAATAAGTCGTCGGCGGATGATACAAGTGGTCATCGTCTCCATCAGTCCTACAGAACTCGGAAGAGCGACCTGGCCACCACCGTGTTTCAGTATCTACCTGAAGCAAAAACCACCTGCTTCAAATTCGGAGGGGAGTTTCAATACTGCTGCGACTTATTCCCCGAAGAAATCCTACGGGAAATCCTGTTGAGGTTGCCGTCAGTCAAATCTATAATCAAGTGCAGCGCCGTGTGCAGGTCATGGAGATATTTGATCCAAACCCCGTCCTTCATCGCCGCCCATCTCCGCTGCCGGCTCAGCCTCAACGGTGACTGTAGTCTCCATCTAGTAAGAAACCGCTCCCACATTGGTGGTTACTTGTTGTATTGGGATAAGCCCGCTGCTTCTGCTTCTGGTGATTCTTCCGGATTTGTTGGTGGTGAGTCTTCCGGTTCCTTTAGCATTAACAGTAGCAATACCAAGATTATAACTCCTTTGACTTACAAATCGACTACTCGCGGTCGCGGAATCGAAGAAATTACTTGTTCACAACCATGTTACGATCTGGTGGGGACTTGCAACGGCCTCATATGCCTTGCTAATGACGCCCACTTCTCCCCCGAAGTCCCCACATTAATTTGGAACCCTTCGGTTAGAAAGTTTGTGACTTTACCCCTTCCAAGCATTGCCATCCCCGATACTGTTTATGACACAGACAGTGATCATTGGGTTATACCCACTTCGGCGTTTGGCTACGATTCCCGCACCGGTGACTATAAGGTCTTGAGAATTTTCAGTAATTTTTACTGTGGCGGTGCTGCCGGGGACACCCCATTTGGGGTTGAGGTTTTCTCCTTGGCAAGGGGCTCCTGGAAGACTCTTAGTCCTTGTGTTTCTATTCCTGGCTGCTTTGCTCTGTGTCGCAGGAACCCCCGTCCTAGACATGTTTTCGTCAACGGTGCTGTGCATTGGCTTCTACCCCGCGGCCGACACTCTGACCAATTTGTCATTGTGTCGTTTGATATGCTCACGGAATCATTCGGCGAGGTAGAGATGCCCGAACCTCTGAGAAATCCACCAGGCCCCCCACCCAGTCCCATTATTTCAGTGCATGAGGAGGATTCCCTTGCCTTGCTTGAGGCCGACTGGGATCTCACAAGATCGGGAGTAGAAGTTTGCCATCTCACGTTATGGGTCATGCAACGGTATGGTATGGTGGACTCGTGGACTAATTTAACCGTAACCCTGCACGAGCCAGACTCTTGTCCCATCCCCATTGGTTCTAAAAGCAATGGCGAACAAGTGTTCAGCATGACGACCAAGAGTGGTTGTGCTCTGTTAACGGTGGACTTCAAGACCAAACGAGTTAGTTATTCTGGAGTTGAAGAGGGATGGAAATACAATTCCATGGATCCTTTTGTGGAGAGCCTAGTCTTACTTGGCCAATCCAATGCTCATTCTTTCTAAGTAGCAGCAGCAAGCAAGAAAGAACAACAGGGATATAATCTATGAATTTTAGTTGCACACTTGTACTTATTTCTTCTGCTTGCGTGCAGTATCCCTTCAAGTTTATCGATATGTCTTATGGTTTTATCATTGATTCGAGAAGTCACATTATATGGAAGAACAACGGTATGAGTAATCGAGTCCCTGCTTTTAACCTTATGTTATAGTTTAGGCTTTCTATTTCGTTGTTGTAGGATCTCTTTTGTTGCACATTCATCCTACTTTAAGAGTAATTTTACTACTCGCGACATTTCTATCACAGTCTTTTGTCCGACTCATGCCTGTTTGGTTTTTAATGGATTATATGTTGTGTTTGAAGTTATGGCAGAGAATGCCGTGATAGGCTGTCAGGGGAATCGGTAATATTTTGGATGTAAATGACTGCTTCCTTTCCGAAATGTGGCGATGGACTCTGGGAAGGAAGACGAAGGATGGCTATGCAGTAATGGGGACTCAGCGGGTGGGTAACAGCCTAGCTGCTCTTGCTTTCGGAAGACGCTAAGGCGGGAGCTTCCTTGTATCCTAACTCTATTCGTCGTTCGGTATTCATTTCTTGAAAATAACTCATAGTCATAGAGAAATCATGTTCAATGGGGACCTTGCCCATCAAAAGAACTCGTATTCATATCCATACAAAGCTAGCTGGACCGATCCGGGTAAACGCTGTGCTGAAACATTTCTTGAAAATCGGTTTTCTAAAGGGATATTTCATGTGGAAATTTTTCTGGTCGAAACATATGGAGTTATACATATGTTTAGATATGGAGGAATTCTGTGATACTGTTGACCACGAGTGCAATTAACTGCATCAAGGAGAGGGGCAATACTTACGATTATGTGTTTGTGTGTGCGCGCGCGCGCGCAGGCCGGTTCAAGAGTGAACTTTGGCAGCGTGACTCCGTGTTCTTTTGTGTTGTCTATCAGTCGTCAGCCACGGCTGATTCTTTTATTGCGGCTAGCGCACGACTACATGGGCGTGCGTTCCAAACTTAAAAAAGAAAAAGTTAGAATCTCACCATTGGCCATGTGTCCACTTTTGAGATATTGGATTTCAACATTTTTGAACAAGCTCATTTTTTAGGGATGGAGATGTACTTAGCCAATTAATGTTCAATCAAGTCAATCACTATTCGTTTAGGTGAATTAAATAGACTTTGGACCAACTCATTTTTTAGGGGTGGACCTGCTCTAATGAAGTATGCCGAATTTATTTCTGTTCATCAAATAAATTAAAATGTCAAACATTCCGTGGCCCTTACAATTAAAGTTAGAATCTATGTACAAGGCATGCAAGAAAATAAATATATAGGTCATACTAGCACAGATGATGAGCGCTAAAGCAGTGTAGTTGAGGTTATACTTTGCCCAAGGAACCTTACGATTATAGGTACAAATCGGGCAACATGAACACATTAGAGCAACTCCAGCCTTCGTTTTTGGACGGGGGACGGGCTGCAGGAAGGGGCCCGAGGGCCTGTTGATTCTTCTCCAGTCATGGAGGGCCCGAGTGAGAGTGGGGGCCCGAGCACAAGGGGGGTGGATAGTTGACAGGCCTGCAGCCCGAGGGCTAAGGTATTTTTTTATTGTTTTTTGTGTCAGCCTGAGGACCTACAGTCCCATTTCCCTGTTTTTTTTTATTTTATATTATTTAAACAAACAAAAAAAACTACTATTTTATTACCTATTGCCAGGGGGAGGGCTCCAAGGATGGAGATGCAAAAGGTAATTACTGTTCATTAATGGTAGTTACTATTAATTAAAGGCAATTACTGTTCAATAGGGTAGATTCAATAGTGGATTGTCAGGGGGATAGCTCCAAGGGTAGAGTTGCTCTTATAGATACAAAATGAGTCGAGTTGAGTCGAGTTCGAAAAAGGTAAAGTCTTTACTTTGTTTTAATTTCATGAAATAGAATTGTAGCATCCATGTACGAATATTTAGTTTTCGTAATGTTATAAAAGATTCTGAGTTCAAATCTTATAAACGACAATCCATTAGGCTTTGAATATAGGCCTAGGATGAAATTTTGATAGAATACAGGCTTTAGGCCCTAGGTTCGCAGGCAGGTTAGATTGGTTTCACCATCTTTTTCGGTTCCAAAAACATAACGGTCGTCTTCTCCGAAAGTTAGCAAGTCAGTCCGAACTCACGCTGGCTATTCTCTACCCGCACAACCACCCCAAGCTCACCAACCTCCTGCTAAGATGCGCCGCCCAGCTTACAATGCGCCACCTCTACCAAATCCAAGCCCAACTCCTCACCAACCCAATACCCTCCATCGACCCAAACATCATCGCCGTCAAGCTCATCGCCGTCTCCGCCGCCCACGCCAACCCCCGCCACGCGGCGCTCTTATTCAACCATCACCTCAAAACCCCGAACATCTTCTCCTACAATGCCCTCCTCAAAGCATTCGCCCAAAACAATGACTGGCAAAACACGATATATTTTTTCAATCGGCAATTGGGTTCGCCGGATGCTCCGGATCCGGACGAGTACACCTTCACTTCGGTGCTCAAAGCCTGCGCCGGGATTGCACGAGTGGCGGAGGGCGAGAAAGTTCACTGCTTTGTTTCGAAATACGGGTGTGAATCCAATCTGTTTGTTAGAAATTCGCTTACTGATATGTATTTCAAGGTGGGTAATTTTGGGATTGCCCAGAAGCTATTTGATGAAATGTCTGTGAGAGATGTTGTTTCTTGGAACACTTTGGTTTCTGGGTATTGTTCGAGTGGGCAGGTTGAGAAGGCTAGGTGGGTGTTTGATGGGATGGAAGAGAAGACTTTGTTCTCTTGGTCGACTATGATCAGTGCGTATGCGAAGGCAGGTGAGTTGGAGGTGGCTCGGAGGCTTTTTGATGAGATGCCGGAGAGGAATGTGGTTTCTTGGAATGCAATGATTGCGGGGTATGCACAGAATGAGAAGTATGCTGAGGCTATTGAGATGTTTAGGCAAATGCAGCAATGTGGGGTGACGCCAAATGATGTTACGCTGATCAGTGTGCTGTCTGCTTGCGCTCACCTTGGTGCTCTTGACTTGGGGAAGTGGATTGATCGGTTTATAAGACGGAATGGGATGGAATTAGGTCTGTTTTTGGGGAATGCATTGGCGGATATGTATGCGAAGTGCGGCTGCATAATTGAGGCCAAACGCGTTTTTAACAAGATGCATGAGAGAGATGTGATATCTTGGAGCATTATCATCACTGGATTGGCCATGAATGGCCATGCTGATGAAGCTTTCGGGTGTTTCGACAAAATGATTGAGTATGAGGTGAAGCCGAATGACATTACTTTTATGGGATTACTGACAGCATGCACACACGCTGGCTTGATCGATAAGGGGCTTGAGTATTTTGATTTGATGGCCAAAGCATACGGGATCATTCCCAAGGTTGAGCATTATGGATGTGTGGTTGATCTTCTCAGTCGTGCCGGCCGCCTTATTGAAGCAGAGGATATGATCAACACAATGCCGATGCGGCCTAATGTTATAGTCTGGGGAGCATTGCTAGGTGGTTGCCGGATTTATAAAGATAGTGAGAGAGGGGAACGTGTAGTTCAGCGTATTCTTGAACTAGATTCCGATCATTCTGGAAGCTATGTTTATCTTGCTAATGTATATACGTCAATGGGTAGGCTAGACGATGCAGCAAGCTGTAGGCTGCAAATGCGAGATAAAGGCGTATCGAAAACACCTGGATGCAGCTGGATAGAGGTGGACAACATAGTTCATGAGTTCTTCATGGGAGACCTGTCGCATCCTCAGATGGACAAGATATATTCGATGATTAGAGAACTAAGGAGGAAAATGAAGCTAGCTGGGTACAAACCGAAGACGGATTTAGTCCTACATAATATCGATGAAGAAGAGAAAGAGGATGCGTTATTGGTTCATAGCGAGAGGCTAGCAATTGCATTCGGGCTGATTAGTACCAGTCCTGGAACCACAATTCGAATCGTGAAGAATTTGCGAGTTTGTAACGACTGCCACGATGCAACGAAACTAATCTCTAAAATTGTTGAGCGAGAGATTGTTGTGCGCGATCGCAGTCGGTTCCACCATTTCAAAGATGGGAAATGCTCTTGCAATGACTACTGGTAGCAAGTGTTGAGCGGAGATTGTTAAGCAGTACCAGGTTCTCTAGATTTTGGAATTTTTTCAGATTTCGAAATATCGGTTTTGGATTCGAATCTGAACGGCTTCCAAAGCTTGATGTATACGGGAACAGCTTGAGTAGCCGGCTTCCTTAAGGCAGGCAGAAAATAGCTTTCCATTGATAACGACACCAATTACATATGGTTTCCGGTGAAAGGAAGAAAATAGCTTTATGGGATAATAATTGCAAAATTAAAACGCTATCATTCACGACAATCCATATCCAGAGATCCCAGAACGCAAAGACAAACGGTTTTCATACATAAAATCCATCACATCCCAAGCAGCAACAACTTTGTTTTCAAACCAAGTTCACCATAACTTCAAATAAACTAGCTACTGCCGAACAAAAGATGAAAACAATGTCCAATCGCGGTTGATGCAAGCCCCGTCTCCAAAAACCTAGAAATGAAAACAGCAAGAGCAGACGATTGGGGAGAGAATCAACTCACCGAAGCAATTAGAGACCCTGCTCAATAAGGTAATCGCCCAGCCTCTCCACAACTATGTTGCACTGCCCAGGAGTCAAAGGCTCATCGTATATACCGATTAACAGGGCCTGGCTGGTCTTCTTAATGGTAATTCCACCCGAACCCTGACATATATTAGACACATCACGTCAACAGAAATATCACAGAGAAAAACAAATCAAACATCTGCACCTATAAAGCGGCATTATGTGGTTTCCATATCCCCATCTTCGACGCAAAATTTTATAGTCAGTAGCGACACTCAACCGCAATCAATCAAAACGACATTCATGGGACCAAGGAGTTCTGCGTAATAGTATCTATGGCATCACATAAGAGCAGGATTCTAAAACCTCCTCACCTTCTTTCCTCGAATGACAGCGCCCGGTTCACCTTGGATCACCATATACTTCGTCCCGCCAAGGAATAATCCGGTTGGGGCAAGCGTTCCGGGTTGGTCGAAATCTTTCAGAATTGCAGCAATCTCCTCAGGCTTAAACTATAACAACAATCAATAATAAATTCAGAAAACTAACAAAAAAAAATCGACCAATTTGTTCTGAGCATTTCGATTACACTCTAATCCAAACAGTAATACTGTAAAAGTAAATCGATCAAGCATCTGAACTGATTCAAATTAAGGACCGATTACTCCAAATTAATCACATCAAAAACCACATAAACACTTCAATTAAGTTCATCAATTCTTTATCAAGTACAAATCATACGCATGTCGTCGATCGGATCAGACACCGATTGACCGAACCAGTCGGTGCTCAAGCTACCTTTCGAAATCGATCAGATCCAGTGAACGAAGTAAATCTAGAACTTAAACAGCGAAATAAACACGAAGGAAAGAAAGAGGGTCGAACCGCGGGGAAAGTAGCGCTCTGAGCCCAAACGCTGCCGTCTTGGCCGAGGATAGCGGCGGCGGTGAGGCTGTTGCCGTCGATATCGCACATCAAGTGGTCGTCGACGTACTGCTGCCAAGACATCGTTCCGTGCTTCTGATTGATCTTCTTCTTCTGTGTTCTGGCGTTGAATGCTTTTGCGGTGGAAAGGAGGGAAGGTTGTGGAATCCAACGGGAATGGAAGATAAATAGCTGGCTGCCTCCCTCACTATCTGAAGCGGGTATGTCAAAAAAGGTTACACGTGGCGCGATGTGAGTTGTCTGTTAGTGTATTATATCGATTTCTTGCCGAATCCAGTGTGAACCGGGTCCACGCCTTTTCTCTTGGGCTTACGTCCATCTTATTTTTGTCGGTCTAATGATGTTGGTGGGCCAAATTAATTAATTTTGGAGTATATAAAGGCCACCGACGTTGTTTGCTTTTTTTCTTCTTTGTTTATATCTTTTTTTTTTTTAATATATGTAAAATACAGTGTCCCGTACCACATGAGGATGCTGAGATCGGAATTCCTATGTAGATTTTTGTGGGTAAAAAGTTAAAAACTAGTAATTCTTTTTTCTTTTCTTTTCTTCTATAAGAAATTAGATGGTTAACTTGCTTTGACCGCGGTAAAAGAAAATCAACTTTTTTTTAATTATTTTGAGTTTGAATTCCTCCTTTTAAAACGTATTAATTGAAAAAACTCAGAACAAAAAAAAATTTAACCTAATAAGAAAAGACAATATCTTATTTCTGTATTAAATAATATTGTAATTGAGTTTTATGAAATTTAGTTGTTTGGTTTTTTTTCTTGACAAACGATATAATAATATACACTAAATTCATCTAAACTACGAAAAGGCAGATTCAAACACAAGACATCAAGTGCATAAACGAATACTCTTAACCAATTGAGCCATAAACTACTTGCTCAAACTCCAGTTGAATATCAGAATGCGCAACGAACGAGACTAACAAAATAATAGAAATATTATTAAACAAACGAAAATGCCGAAATGACTACAAAACCCTAAGAGACTACATTGTGACTGACTTATTAAAACTAACTAATACAAACACTACTATATATAGTGAAAACTAAAGCAAAATCCTAATCCTTAAAGGATATAGAAAACTCTAATAAACCCTAAATCCTAACCATTAAAGGATATAAAAAATTCTAATATCCTTGTCCCAAAAAAAAAGCATAAACAAAAATAAACTAATAAATAATATTCCAACAACTCCAGTATTAACTTTTTTTAAAAATATGATAATTATACATTACTCCCTGGCCACTAAATTTTGTACCGTGTCTAATTTATACACCATTTAAAAACCACCCAGTTCAAAACCAGGTGCCGAAAGTGGACAATTACCGCCAACTAAACCCGCCACCCGTTTTCGTACGGAAAACCTGGTATCGGATCCTCGCATAAACCTCCGGCCCAAAAAAAAAATACGCCACTAAAATCGCGCCCCTGTTTCTGCTTACCGGAAACTGCATCGCTCGTGTTGACCGCGACGCCGTCGCTTTCCCCGTAACGAGTCGTCAACACATTTCCGAAATTGTTTTACTACCCGCTCCCTCCCTCACGGGCCAAATCATTGCGGAATATAAATACCCCTCCACACGCTCCAATTTACCATATCAACCCCAATCTCCTTCCCTCCTTCCTCTGTTCGTCAACACATTTCTGATATTTTTTTCTGCTTCCTTCGAATTACATACGTTTTCCGTCACAGAATAAAAGGATAAAAAATTTACAAATGGGCGATTCGAATCCAGCCGGAAACGTGCAGATGAAGGTGGTCAAGGGCGACTTCGGCTACGTTCTCGAAGACGTCCCCCATCTCTCCGATTACTTGTCCGATCTTCCTGTAAAGCTTCCTCGCTCGCCCTTTTTTCTAAATTCAATTTTTTTTATCTGCATTTCGTTTTAAAATTTTTTTTTTTAATTAATTGATTTTTTGGGTGTTTGGTTGCGGGTGCAGACTTATCCCAATCCGTTGCGATTCAATCCTGCTTATTCAGTTGTAAAGTACGTAAATTTAATACATCCCATGATTTCTGTTTCTGTTTGGTATTTGATTCAATGCAAAAGACTGACTCTTTTATGATCTTACTTTTTTTAGGCAGTATTTTGTTAACGTGGATGACACCGTTGCTCAAAAGGTAATTACCCTTTTTTTTTAGTTTAATACATTATTCATATTTCTCAAATTTATTTTTTGTAATTTTATATAGAGTGTAGGGTAGATCAGATTGTGTTAAAATTTTGTATTTTTATTAATCATGCAATTTTAATTAATTTTTTGTAATTTTATATTTATTTAATAGTTTTTGGCGCTCTGTTGTTATTTGTGTATGTGAGCTTGAAATGCTATGGTTTTCCTCTGGTTTACAGATTGTTGTTCACACGGATAGTCCGAGAGGGACACACTTCCGGCGGGCAGGACCACGCCAGAAGGTATTACATTTTTAGCTGTCTGAACTGCTGCTGAAGTAACAGTATTAAGAAATGTGCATTGTATTTGAGTGACATGGATTTGTGTTGTGGTTTGGTTCAGGTTTATTTCAACCCGGCTGAAGTACATGCTTGTATTGTAACATGTGGTGGTTTGTGCCCGGGGCTCAACACGGTTATCAGGGAAATTGTGTGTGGACTTTATCACATGTATGGTGTCTCGAAAGTACTTGGGATAGACGTGAGTGTTTACATTGATAGAGTCTCGAGGTTCAATATGTTTTTTGACATTGAGAAAGGAAATAGCCTGAAACTGCTTCTGTAAAACAGATAGGAGTTTAATGTCTCACTAACAAATTCTACATTGACATATATCAGGGAGGATACAAGGGTTTCTATGCCAGAAACACCGTTACCTTGACACCCAAGGTTGTCAATGACATCCACAAGCGTGGTGGTACCATCATTGGTACGTCGCGAGGAGGACATGATACTGCAAAGATAGTTGACAGCATTCAGGATCGTGGAATTAATCATGTACGGATTTGTTCTTTTTAACTATCGTTCTGCATCGTATTAACTTTATATAGTAACTTCAAACATAAAATCACACAGCCAAGGTGCTGAGACGAATTCTCATGGCATACGTTTTGTGATACAGGTTTACATAATTGGAGGTGATGGAACTCAAAAAGGAGCAGCTGTCATATATGAGGTAAAACTACTGTCCCCAAAACGATGAAAGTTTGATATATTCGCAGAAAGGTGCAGCCTTGAATTTTATAACCGGGGCCAATGTTAAATGATCGTGGCTTCTCTTACAAAAGAATAACTCCATGCGTAACTGTATCTGACTTGTCTTGATGATCTGTGTGTTACAATCTCTTTTGTTTCTTTGCTATTGAAGTTTAAGTTGTATGGAATTTACTCGTCATTGTTCTCAAGTCACAACTATTTCTTTAGCAGTTTAGTTCTAATTGTGCAGGAAATTAGGCGGCGTGGCCTCAAAGTTTCTGTTGCAGGAATTCCAAAAACCATAGACAATGACATTCCGGTACTTGTTATACAGAACATATGATTCTAACTTTGGTTTCTGCTTTTGTTGTTTCAGGTAGTAATTTTATTTTCTTCATTCAGGTTATAGACAGATCTTTTGGCTTTGATACTGCGGTTGAGGAGGCTCAACGTGCCATTAATTCAGCTCATGTTGAAGCTGAAAGTATTGAGAATGGTATTGGTGTTGTGAAGCTAATGGGACGCTACAGTGGTAAATATTCTCATTCTGTGCCTATAGATGTTTCAATATCACAGACTCATGCAGATGCAGATCCTAATGGATGAAATTTAATTGGGATCGTACTAGTTATGTTTTGGTACCAGCCTTATACAGCTTTTCACTTAAACTGGACTTCCTGATGCAGGTTTCATAGCTATGTATGCTACACTTGCCAGTCGAGATGTCGACTGTTGTTTGATTCCGGAGTCCCCCTTCTATCTTGAAGGAAAAGGTGGACTTTTTGAGTACATTGAAAAACGACTCAAAGAAAATGGACATATGGTTATTGTGATAGCTGAGGGTGCAGGACAAGATCTTCTGTCAGAGAGCTTGCAATCTATGAACCAGCAGGATGCTTCAGGAAACAAGCAACTTAAAGATGTTGGGTTATGGATTTCTGAGAGGATAAAGGTATCCCTTGCAATCTTTTCTCGGTTTTATTTTCTCTCCCTGTTTTCTTTTCTGCACATCATATCAACTCTCTCTTGACCATCTGAGAATCTACTGTCATAAAAGTTCCTCGTCACTCTCCATTTGCAAGTAAAATCTCATCCCCGACTGGCAACTGAGGAGTTCAGGGCTGATGCAGATATCTTACTGATGAATCTATTTACATATCCTTTGTTTGGTTAACCGTTGTTTGCTTACGTTTCAGAGTCACTTTGGAAGGCAGCAAAAGCTCGCCATTAATCTTAAGTATATAGGTCAGCGGTGCTAGATTTGCCTCCTTTAGTTGTTTCTGTTTCCCCATTCAAAAATTCAGCAAAAGTAAGTTTGAAATAGCATCTAACCAGTCAAATTGTTTTTCCAGATCCTACGTACATGATCCGGGCTATTCCAAGCAATGCAGCCGACAACGTCTACTGCACACTCCTTGCTCAAAGTGCGGTTCATGGAGCAATGGCAGGGTACACGGGCTTTATATGTGGGCCTGTCAATGGAAGGCATTCTTATATTCCTTTCAATGTAGGTTTCTCATCTCTTACATTGTCGTCGTTTCTTTATTTTCGCCTTCAACTGCATCTTAAATTTCATGCTCTTTATCTCAATAGAAACCGACAGTTTGAAATTAAGACCCATCAGTGATTGATCTGTTTGATTTTCGATGTGCAGCATATTACAGAGAAGCAGAACAAGGTTGTGATTACTGACAGGATGTGGGCGCGACTCCTTTCTTCAACCAACCAGCCGAGCTTCTTGAACCCCAAAGATGTCACCGAAATCCAAGATGAAGATCCTCCAACCCAGATGCTGGATGGGGAAAACTGTAAAGATAGCAAGTTCGCAACAAAAGACATCCCAAGCATGTCTTGAAAACACGCGTGGCTCTTCCCTTTACCATCCCCAGATTTCGGATGATGTAGGTTTCTGTTTCCACGATTTGCGTATATCAGAACTTATTTTTGCTAGATCAGTATTGTACTCGAATTTTATTTACTTTCATTTCCAAAAATCT